CTGCCCTCGGGGAGCCCTCTCTCAGCCCCCTGCGCCCCGGCAAGCCCAGCCGGCCCCGCCACATCCGAGGAGGGAAGCCCACCTTTATCGGGGGCCTGGCGATGGAGTAGAGGAGGAGAATCCCTGAGACCAGCACCCCGGCCACGATGCCGTACTGGACCTCCCAGAAGCAGAGCAGGAACGTCACGCAGAGCGGCACAAGGTCCAGCCCTGCAAGAGAGATGACCCAGGCTCGGCTGCACCTTGTCCTCATGCCACAGGGACACTGCCCGCTCTGCAGGGCGAGCTGTATTGCACCGGGGGTTGTCTCGGCACAGTAGCAATGTCGAGACAAAATCGCATCAGGTATTGGTTCTCCACAAGCAGTCATAGATTTTTGCTTCTAGCACAAGGCCATAGGTGTGACGATTTTGAAGGTAGGTGTTGCATAAATCTGTCAGATCAGTCAGAATCGGTGCATAAAAGCATTCAAATGTTAAAGGAAGAGTTCAAAAAGTTGCAAGTAGACAGTGAATAAAATTGGTTGAACAATTTGTTATCTGATTGGGGAATTGGTAGATGGTTAGCTGCAATTGTTAAGACAGGATTAATAATATTGATTGTGATTTTTGTTACAGCATTAATTATTCCGTGTACACCAGCAAGCCTGCGGCTCCAAGCCTGCAGCAGCACCGCAGGGCATGCGAGATGGGAGGGAAGGTTGCCGTGGGACCCACGCATAGCCCAGCAGCCAAAGTGGGCAGCTGGCGACCAGGACACGACCTCAGGAACCCAGCAGGGTCCACACAACCTTTCGCCCAAGACTTTGTAGAGCCCCGTCACCATACAGCCCCAGCGAGTGTCCTGTGGGCTTGGGCTCCGCTCCCCCTCCTGTTACCCACCGGCCAAAGCTGCCCGTGATGGGATACGATGAGACGAAGGAGCCCAGGACGTTGGCGAAGCCTGCAGTGGGGAAGGAGAGGGGCTGGGGATGCAGCAGCTACGGGAGGCACCGCCTGGTCTGTGCCACTGTCGTCACCTCCTCCGTGCCCAGGCTGGTACCCGGGGCCGTACCGGATCCCATCCGGCCATGTGAGCTCAGGCTGCTCTGGGAATTGCTGAGCTGTCAGAAAGGCACGGGGTGGGGGCAGCACGCAGGATAAGAAAGGTAAAACTTCAGGTAGAGATAGGACTGCTGAGATGGGTATCTCTGGTAGCTCAGGGGCTGTGGGACACACGGTGGCACTCAGGCTGGATCCCCTCCCCCTGCCCTGCTGCTCCGAGCGGCCTCTTACCCAGAGCCAGCAGCTCCTGGTTGGGGTCAATCCGGTAATCGTTCTGCGAGGCTGAAAGGAGACGAGCGGCATCACCCCGAGCTTCCCGCAGGCACAGCCCGCCATGTGCACGGAGGGGGCCGGCAGCGCCTGGGACAGCCGGGGGGCCCCGTCC